AGGAAGAAACTGCTTATTCACTTAGTCATAATTACCGCCTTCCCAGGTCCCAGAGGAATGGCTGTTCTCTGTCAGTCTCTGAGGACGGTCCTGACTTTTTCAGATGCTGCACCAGCAGCTCATCGACATAGCCCATAAAATATATTTTCCCCAAATGCAGAAGTATCACTGTGTTGTCTGTTCCTTGCAAAAGAAGAGATGAGGGTTGCTCCTTATTCCTGCTGGCCCCATGGCACAGAAAGGAGGCAAGAACCCAGATTCTGGGTAATCAGGGCTTGACTACACCTTGGCTGCTTTTTGGCTGTCACCTGGGTAGAGGCTGCCACTACTTACCAGGCAGCACACTGGTGGGTCACAAATGGCACTCGTTCTGCAAAGTGCCCTGGGAGAGGGCAAGCTCTCCGTACATGATAGTTGTTCTAGTCCTAGTTCATGGAAGTAAAACTTGTCTTTCCTTATCAGGGCTGCAGGGACCCCAAGCATCCTGCTCTCCACAACTTTGAGTTTCCTACTCTGCTTTGCCACCCACTGTCAGATAAAGACCTACACTTCCCTGCTTCGAGCCCTGACGCCCTATCCAACAGCCCCAGTCTTGTCCAAACACATGTTGGACAAAGCCAAATTGAGCATGCTGAAAGGCACCATTAAGACACTGCCTCTAAGAACACATTGCATCTACAAACCAGGGCTGCCTGAACCGCAGAGACCCCCTGGGCTCTAGATTCAAAACATTTCACAATGTTTTAGGCAGCTAGTTCTAGGTCCAAAGCTGATTGCACTGAAACATCTATTTCTAAGAACTGACAACTATGCACAGCACTGGAGTCTTCAAGTCACTGGCACAAATTGACTCTGAACCAAGAATGAAATAATAACAAAAAGGTCAGAACAAATTATATTCTGAATGTGTGTACCTCAGTGGAAAAGAGGAAAGAACACTGCCACCGTTTTATACATAGAAATACTCCTCCCAACCACAAAGAACACTTTTTTTCCTGACTGTTCATTCTTTCATCATTTACTTTTCAAGTTCAAAGCTAGGGGGCAATGGGACATAGAATCCCCTACAATCAGATTTGACTAGCTCAGAGCCACCAACCACCACTCACAGATTGGAGTTAGGGAACTTACTGAAGAAACTCCACTCCCACAAAAGAAGGAAACGAAGTTACTTTTCAAGATCAATTCCACTTGATAGTTTTACAAATAGGAAGTACACTATTACCATGTTACTATGGATACTATGGCTAGATAGCTCCTCAAAGGGAATAACTAACAAATCATTGTAAAAACACTTGGCAAACATGAGTTCTATGATGATAAAATCATGAAAGCCATCCCAATACCACTTGTCTGTGGTCAAACAGAATCTTCAAGAAACTGCACTTGAAAGTAAACATCTTTCTTGAACCAATTGTGTATTTCCCACCAGACTGCACAAGCCCCTTGAAGGACAAGGCTGTGGTCAGGTCCATCATGGCATCCCCAGGCCTGGCTCGGAGAAACAGCTCTACAACCACCTACGGAAGTCATGTAATAAAAGGTGTCCCAGATGGCCTTAAGGATATTCTAAATACTCCAGGTAAGTTGCAAAGAATCCCACAAATGTTGTTTTCAGAACGTCCTGTCATACTGTATGAATACTTTTAAAGGACAAGCTTTGCAATTAATGATTCAAGATTGTCAATGTCCCCTACAGGGACATAAGATGCAGGTGATGGGTCAAGTTCATGTTACTCAACATCTTTCAACTATGTGTGACTCCAAGCCAACCAAATTTCATTCTGTTTGGAAAAGATTGAGAAGTAACAAGCCTCAAGTACACGTGGTCTCGATGATCCACGGCTTTAAGATGTTGACCCTCTGTGGGTCTTTGCTTATGGATTAGCCTCTATTAAATGAAAGGACGTCTTCCCTCACATGGCGTAGGGTAACGGGCATGAACATCTGAATGCTCATGTTTCTAACTGGATCTGCACAATGAACCCATGGGTCACGGGTTAGTATTCCCAACAGATCCCATTATCAGCTACATTAGCTCAACAAATGTTTCAGTAAACTGAAGCAGCTATGTAATCAGCTGTTAGAGATTTACACTCATCAGTTCGTTAATTAAATAATGTGTCAACATAACAAAATGGTTGCCTCTCGCTATCTCAGAGGAGCGAAATCGCCCCGGGGCGGAATGTTCCATCTTCTGAGAGTCTCCTGTAGATAGGCAGGGGATGGCAGACCCAGCGTTTCATTAAAATTAGCTAGAGATTATGTAGTCCTGTTGCTTTTCTGCTAAAAATCTATGTTAAGAGGCAAAGCAACTAAAAGGAGGAAGCATATAGCATATACTCCAGTGATTTTGAATAATCAGACTGGAAAGAAATCGTCACTTGGGATGGGCCAATGACAAGTGTTATGCTCCTCATTCAGATACTAAAAATACAAATCTAAACATCTTTTTCAAGAACACCAAACACTAGGTGATCACAAGGTTCACTCCAAAATGCAGCTGAAATAGAAACTCTTATCAGAACCTAATTAACCAGGATCCTTTACCAGCAAGGCGAATCATAGTAGTCTTGCCAGCCGATATGAAAATTAACTTTCTTACCATATTGACAAATCCCCCCAACCACCACCCCTGCCCCAAAATCCAGCAGGCAGGCCACTACCTGCTATCCGCCGTAGATAAAAATCTTCGAGATGTTTTACTTGAAAATCTCAATGTGACACAATCCTAACAGAGCAGCACGAGGAGTAGCTGTTACTATGTTAACGGTCACGTTACAAAACTAAAACCGAAGCCACTGAGATAAATACAAAACAAATTAGAATCCTTGGAGGAGGCGCCAATAACCTAATTTAAGAATCTATTAAAAAAAAAAAGGCAACAGAATAATAATTACTAAGCGCTGTTTCTTAAAATTACTCTCCTCTTAATATTTCTCAATTCTAAAATGTCATGAGAAATATGTTCACCATCTTCCAGTTCTGCCTTAACAGAAAGCATTACCAAAGAACACCACTGAAAAACAAAGGCATTCATACAAGGAAGTGAATATCCTAAAGATATAAGTATGTTCTCAAGAGTGACACTAAAAAAGCAGAAGTCATATTAAGTTAAAAACACGAAAAAAAAGAACAGAAGTTCCTAATTTTAATATTACATATCACCCCCCCAAAACTGCCGATGAGTTAAGATCTGTCGATTTTACAGAGAAAGACTATATATTTAGGACTCCCTGCCGTTTATGAAGAGTAGAAAAGGCGAAAGGAAGAAAAGGAATTAAGCATTGAATAGAACATTCATAAAAATGCAGTTTTTTAAAAATGAAATTCAGGTTGGGTTTGGGGGTTCTTGTTTTACGTAGCTTCCGATTTGCCAGAAATTTCAAACAGCACTGATTTTCAGTGAGCTTCATTCCGATATGTTAGACTCTGGAATCTGAGCGTTAATTTCACAACCCTCCAAAAGGTCTGTACTCTTCCTTGATTTTCCCTGGTTGACATTCTTTATCAAAGAGCACATCCTGCAAACCCAACAAGATGCATGGGGCTAACAAAAAGGGCAGGCAAGACAGAAATACCTAGCACGCATTTACTTACACAATTTGGCTTTTCACAACAACTGACTGAAAGGGACTGATATTTTCTGTCTTAGGGCTCAGTGTCATGAATGGACTTGTAAGAATCATCAGGAGATCACTTAGAATTAAAAGAAAGATTTTTTTCTCTTATGTCAAGGTAACAATTTAAGCAATCTTGGGTGTATAGTGCTTGAAACACTAACGCTTTCAACGGAGAACAGCTTTGGTTTAGACTCTAATATTTTACAAAACTGCATGGTTTCCGATTCACCATACAGAAGATGCCGTCCTTTATCAACAATTCTACCAAAAGCTAGTTAGCACATTCACTGTACAACTCATGATGGTGTTAATTAGAAAAGAAGCTAAGGGGGAAAAAAATCAAACCCTAATCCTTTGATACACTGTTTGAAACTCTATTAATCTGATGAACGGTCTTTTCTAGGCTGGTGCCAATGACATGAACCACTGAAGTCTTTAACTAGTTCCATCCATAATAAATCATGTGCGATATAAAATCACAACTTGGTATAGCCCTCACCAAACCCCTCGACAATTCAGTCGGGCCCTTCTCTGGTCTTTTAAACAACAAATTCCTGTCTGGAATCAATCAACCAACGTGCATTTAAAGTGAATCCCATTTCAACCTTTTAATAAAGTACCACCAGGGGATCTGCAAGTTAGGGAAAGCCGCTTAGCAGCAAAAAGAAAACTGTGTGGGTCACAAGCCACTCATCACTGCCTGGGGGCACAAAAGAGGAAAGCAAAGGATAAGCTGAGTAGAACGGACCTCAGGAAGAGTAAGCACGGAAAACTGGGCTTTAAGTACCTGGGACAAAAGGCAAGGAGCCTGCACTCCCCAGCCAAGGAACCCACGGTGAGCTGAGGAGAGGACGCAGTTGGCAAAAAGGGGCAGCAGGAACCAAAGAAGAAACGACCAGAATGCAGACCAGGGGAGCCAGAGGCACGGGGCAGAAGGGGCCCATAAGGATGGAGCTGGAGGGGTGACAGAGAAGGGGCAAAAGGGACAGGGATGCGGCTCGAAGAGGAGGCACGGGGCAGGAGGGAGCCATGGCAGAGGAGCACTGACGACCCTAGGGATGGGACTGGACCCAGAGACTGAGATGGGACAGGAAGGAGCGACAGGGATGGAGCTGGTCCAGCCAAGTCACAACCACATCCCGGCAGCCCGTTGCTGGGGCGCTCCTGCGCTCCCGGCGCTGCGCTGGGCACTCTGGGGCGCTCTCAGCTGGAGTCCCCCCAGCAGCCCTCTGAGGCCCATTTCAGAGACAGAAACGGCGAGGCCGGTTGGTGGGGAACGGCAGAGGCAGAGCGCCGGACCCTCCCGGACGCAGGGGGTCGCTGGCGGCCGCGGGGGACGGTGGCGCGGGGGGCGGCGCGGGCCCCGGCGGCCGGTACCTGGGCTCCGGCAGCACGATCTTCTTGCTGGCGCGGGCGGCCGGGGTCGCCTTGCTCTTCTCCATCGCCATCAGGTAGCTGACATCGGCCAGCACGGCCTCGAGGTCCGCCATGTTGGCGAGCGGCGGCGGCGGCGGCGGCGGCGGCGGCGGCTCCTCGGGACCCGGACGGGACGCGCTCCCGCCGCCGCCGCCCGCCGCGCCCCGACGTGGGGGGGCCGCCCCGGGGCAGCCCCCCCGCGCGCTCCCGCCCGCGCGCCCCCGCGCCCCGT